AGAATCAGTCAGGCGCTTGAGCACAAGCTGGGCGGTAATTTTTCTAAAGTTTAGATAAGCAGAGATTATTCTTTGAATAGTATCATGATTCAGGTCAGTGTGTGCTTCCAGTTCTTCTATTGTGATATGCGGATCATCATTGATAATGCTTTGGATTTGTTCAATGTTTTCCGTTGTCGTCTCGATAATAGGTCTCACAGTTCGTGTCTCATCTTTAATCTCTTCTTGACCTTTGCGGAACCATTTAAACCATTTGGCAACAGTTCTAAAAGGAGGAGCTTCATTACCGAAAACAGTGCATCATTCAGTATGAATAACTGTTGGTTGAATATTAAGTGCTGTACGCACTTTGATGTAAAATCGAAAACTTTTCTTACTCATTTGAAGCAAAGACGAACAATGCTAACATACACATTATGATAAAGAAACATATGGCTCTCTTATCTCTAAATATAGGAGTAATTAGTCATTATGGTACCCCATTCTGATACACATATTGTAAGGATAAAGCATACTATTGTTCGGATCATATAAGAGAGGATCCTAGACAACCCTGAATTGGCAGGAGCAACATCATGTTTTATCCATACAATAGTGGAAAACGGCTATTAGCTTATCGTGTGAGTTGGCAGCTTTTCTCTACTATTGTACGGATAAAACATGATGTTGTTTGGGCCAATTCAGGGTTATCTAAGATCCTCTCTTATATGGCCGGAACAACAGTATGTTTTTATCCTTACAATAGGGGTGTATCAAAATAGGGGTACCATGCTGACTAGTCACTCCCATATATGCATACATATATGTATATCGATGAGTAAGTACCACAGAAGAAAAGAAAAAAAAGGGGGAAAATAGTAAAGATAAGAGAAAAGAAAGAAAAAAATGAAGAGTAAGAAAGCGGATGAAACGGGTTGAAAAGCAGATTATCATCGGTTATCTCCGGCACACATGGTGCTAAAATAAGTTTTATAAATAATTCGATATCATAATATTAGTTGAAGTATGATCAAATACCATATAAACGCCCATCTAAAAGTGTATGCAAAATTTAATGATTTAACGAAATCTAATGTTACCTTTGTGCCCGTGAAAACGCGTTAAAATACTATTAACGTGGAAAAACAAGTGAAAATTCGTTGAATTCATATTTTAACGCGTTTTCAAGGACAAAAAGATAACATTAAATTTCGTTTAATCGTTAAATTTTGGATATAATTTTGCATCGGAGATAGAGCTTCTTTTTCTCTATCAGACTGTATAGAAAGAAAAGTTTTTGAAGCCTAGTGTAGAGTAAAAAAAGTGTCACTGTCACTACTTTTGGTATGCTTTATGTGTTATCATAGTCAAATGAGAAAAAAAAATAAGAAGTATAAAGCAGTATGACAAATTTCTTAAAAGATATTTGCTATCTCATTATTGGCAAAGTAAAAATACTTAATTGCGTTTTAAAATTATTTAGAAAAAGAATTAACTCTTTGATGACAGTATTACAAAAACCTAGACAGACTTTTAGGCCATCACCTAGAATGAAAAGATGTGGTGATTAAACGGAAAAGAAATCAGGTCTGTATCTATTTTCTGGTTTTGTTCGATTTTTGAAGCCAATCAACACGAAAGATGATATTCTTATGAGCGATCCGATAGCTTCTCAATGGCTTCAGCCCTAGACGTTAATCACTCATTGATTCTTTCGTTTAATTTCTAGCCATGACGAACATTATACGTACATACGATATAATTCATTATCTATCTACACTTTGTAGACAATGTTTTTATAGAAAAATGAAAATGATAAAAATTCTCAGACATCACATTCGAACCCCGTTTCAAAAAGCAACGATTTCGTTATATTTTAAATTAAAAGAAATTGTCGTATTTTTTCAGAATCAGGCTTTATTGGTCTTAATATATCGCATTCAAAGTCATTTATGGCGCTGTTTTCAGGATAACCTAACCGAGATTAGTATTTCTCAAGACTGACATGTGTCAGCAGTTGCAAGAAAAATACCCTCTTTCTGCAAGTTGTGCTAGAAAAAGAAACTGCACAGTAGTAAATACTCACAGTTTGTCGTAGTAGTTTAACAAATAATCTCGCATTAAAGCTTTCCAATGATAAACTTTCAGTTATTAGCTTACATTGTTTGTCTATTGAAGCAAATAGAAAAAAGCTCTGTATTCATGTTACCAATCTACCTCACACCGTTTCGGGCGAAAAATTAGCCAATTTATTTCAAACTGCAGTGTCACATGTTGTTCTTGGTTTTGATCACAATCAAGCATGGATTCACGTGAAAGAAGAATTAACAGCCGAAGAATTAGCGAAATACTTTGACAAATACTTCTTAGATAATAAAATCATTTCATGTCAGCATGTTGCAGAAATCTATCGACCTGGTGATCTCTGCAGGTATGCAATTAATAATATATGTCAATTTGGTGAGTCTTGTTGTTATAAGCACATCCTGTGCTCAAATCCAAACGAATGTTCAAATAACGAATGCTATTTTCAGCATTATTTTTTAAGAAACGGACGACATATACCTAAGCATTGTAAGTGTGTGTCGATTCATTTTTAATAGAATCGAATTGTGGACATTTCTCTGATTTCTATGCAGTTCTGAATATCAAATCTCAATATTGTGTTCGCATCGACAGAATTGCTCACACTGTAACAGTCGAAAACCTCAATAATACATTAGTAGCAGATGGAGGAAGCTTTGAAAAAGAACTATTTTTCAAGATTCACTCTCCAAAATTGAACGAATTAAACTATGCATATCTTTACAATATACGTTTTGAAACATATGCTCGCAAATTTGTTGAAAGATGGCACAATAACACTTTGTTTCAAAATCGCTACAAGCTCAAATGTCAAATTGAATATCAAGAAGGTCACATTTGTATGACAACAGCAGTAGAAATAAATCTCACTAGAACTTATAAAGGACCTCTGCCAGTGCAAACGATGGAAAGTTTATTCAACAATAATAAAACAAACATAGATTCTGCACTAAGTCAGATGAAAATACAGATAGTATAGTTGTCACAGACATTTTTTTATTTGTGTTTATAGAAACACCTGCGGAGAGCCAAACGACCAATAAATTACCTATCATAAACAATAAAGACAACAATATCGGTTCCACGAATATGGATAATTTAACTCATTCAAGTAATTTCAACATGTTTCAAAAGGAGGACAACAAAATACTTAAGATTTTCATATAAAAATTATACTTTTTTGTTTTCCTTTTGAGCAAACAATGTTTCGCAATAGTCTAAACATTCTCTGATTCGTTTCAAAAAGCGCAAATAGTTCGAAGTTTTACTACAAAATCTGTGAAATCTTATACTAAAGATTCATGTATTTGTTTTGATTTTTGCAGCAGAATCCAAAAAATCTTCAACAAAAAGTAAGCCACATTTACCAACCATCCTATCTAATAACGATAAAAACGATGGAGAAAAACAAGGTTTGTCTTTATTTATGATTTGTGATCTTAACGTCATCTTCTGTGTAGATGTCCTGACAAATCCACAGAAAAGCAACGGAATTCCAGAGAGCGATGATCATAGTAAGTTTGAAATTGGTATCTTCACTAAGGTAAATCGGCAGTACAAAATATTAAATTATGCACGAATAATTTGAGTCATTGCTTTTATTTAAACGCTTTGACTAAAACACCGCAAAATAGCAGTCATGAAGTAAACATAAAATCTACAATATTCAAACAATTGAGTTAGATGTGAGATAAGGAAGCTGCGCAGAGCATGAGACTAGTCCTATCCCAACTCACCCATGGGCAGAACGGCACGCTCAAGTTGAAAACTTGGTGGGACGGAATGGGGTGGAACTGATTACTTGCAGGACAGGACAACACAGGACAATATCGATTCATTTCTACGTGCAGTCTGGTTTGTTTGACGTAAATTTATCGCGTGTTGTTTTCCACACATTGCAATCGAATGACATCTATGAATTGAGTATACAAGAACAGTTGTTAAAAGTGATCTGATTGTTTATCTTCATAATATTATATATTCAGATGATACACTCTGCTTATTTCTTATTGACTTCATTCTTTTGTGGTCCATCTTGTATCTATTTAAAAATATTTTGGAAGTACGATCAGAAAAATGTACCACTGTTGTCGAAGTTGACTTGAATTATCCATTTCATTCCAGCAACTTTAGCAACAGTAGAACGTGAATTTAGCGAAGGCGGGCTAGGGATGTCTGAACATCGGTCTTCAATCAATCCACAAAATCTCAATAATATACTTTTTCTCAAATCACTTACTTGATGAGTAGTATTCGAAGTTGTACTTACTGAATTGTTCATCTTTTTTCGGATAAAAAGTTTCGCTGTCTAAGTCCTATTTTGAAGCATGATTAGTTAGACAGATGATTTACACTGAAGATGAAAGTATAAATTTCTCTTACTTTCTTTAATTCCAGTTTAAAAAATAGAAGTTATGTCGATGTGACATAGCGATGCGGAATGGGACAGAACAGGACGGGACAAGGTAACGCAGGGTGCAGGACGGGATGGAACCCAGTCAGAAAAATGAGGTGGAATGGAATGGGATGGGACGAATCTTTTATCATCCCGCGGAGCTCTGGTAGATACACTTGAGAATGCGACGTAATCTAGCAATAAATATTCTGCTAGGCCTCTTCATGGCAAGTAGTTTTTAACTTTCGAACGATTCATATGTAGCCTGCGAATCTCGAGATTTAAATAGGAAGATTCACATTGCAAAGATAGACATTCTTCATTGCTTTTAATAAGCAAATCTAGATATCTCAATATTTATTCATGCGCTCCAAACTAAGCAAAGTAACTTCATTCACAGAAATTGGTTGGGTAAGAAGTAACGAAGAATAAAAGCCATCGGCAAACCCCTGTCACGATTTACGTGTTAAATGCAACCGCCTTTAGCCAAGCATCCCTGAAAAAAATGAGATAATATGAAAAAACAATCTAATTTTTTTTCATGATTCTTCTTTTAGAAGAGAAGCGTTATCCATCACCATATGTTTTGAATGAAATTCCTGAGTGGGAAGCTACGGGTGATACATTTGGCTCTAAAAATGGTTCAGGTCAAGGTACAATCTATAAAGTTAAGCAAAAATCGTCACCATTCAAGCAAGCTGCATTGAAAGTGTTTGACAAGAAGTTAAATCAAGAAGGGCGATCACGTAGTTATCGCGAATATATCGCGCTGGATCTTTTAAAAGGTTTGATACTATTAAAAAAACATTTGACACTTTGCGAGGTTCTGTGATTAGTGAAAATATTCGATCCTAAGATAGAAAGTGCTTCTCTTTACAGACCAAAAGGCGACACTTCAAAAGGGAACAGATTAGGAATAACGAGTAACAGCTCGTAAGGTACACAAAAAGACAGTTGGTTTATTGAGTCCAATTGTGTTTTATGATCTTACTCTGGCAAAAATTGCACTGGTACAATTTTTATTGACAGGTGCGCCTCATATTTCTCAACTGATCGACACTAATATTCCAAAAACTGAACAAGAAGCCATCGCTAAGAAAGATGAAGACCGTAAATTTTGGATACTTATGCAAGTGGCGCCAGGTGTTTCTCTTCAAACATTCCGCCCTCCATACTCACTACTTGAATCCATTTCATTCAGTATTAACCTTATTTCTATTATCAAATCATTTCATGGAAAAGGAATTGTTCATCGTGATTTAAAACCGGACAATATCCAAATCAAGTTGTCTGATGATGACCAATCTCTTACCAATAGTGACATCACTATTCTTGATTTTGGTCTGGCTTATATTGATAACTATAACGAAAATAAACGAATTCCAGCGGATAATGTGAACTTCGAAAAAGTTCAAGAAGAAGAAGAAGAAGAACGAATAAAACAATCACAACTAATCACTAACATCGGTGGAGTTTATGGAAACTGTTGGTATCGAGTACCTCAACTGAGAAGTCATAGATGGGGTGATCTATCAAATGTGGCAAAAGAAAAATTGGTACAAGCACGTCGAAGCCCAACGATTGATGCTAGCAGTGTTTGCGCTATCTTGTTTTGGTTATTAACTGGTATTGAACCAAGAGAAGAAGACAAGAAACAAAAGGACAACAAAAAAGTATCCTCAGTCAAAGATGAATTTCGTCTCCTATATCATCAGAAGGAAGAAAACAAGCTCATCGAGATCGTGAAAAAATCAGTGTACGAGGCAAATGAAGGTCTGTAGACTATTTTTTAAAAGTCTTTTAGAATTGACACTGTTCTTGATGTAATGGCTAAAATTTTAAAATCCGAACATCTGGAAATATTCAAATCGCATACGCGATGTAAAAACTTTGATAGAGCTCGACAAAGAGCATGTGACTATGTATGATGCCAATAGTTGAACTTTAAATAATTGCAAAGAAATCGCTTCAAAACTATGTTTTATGTGTTAAACCCAGGGATGTGCCGATAGTAAAAGAGAGAATAGTTCACTTCTCTTCATTTCGACTAAATTTTCAGTGTTTTAATCAAAGACCGTTTTTCATTATTAAAAAAGATCGCATGATGAATGCAATAGATTCTATACTCTTTCTCCACTTTTAAAAAACCATATGTGCATCCTTGAAATACAAGAGATTTTTCTGGCACCTATTATATAATCTACTAGCAGACGTATCCGGTGTTGCTCGGGAAAGTCTACGCCTAATATATGAAAACAAAACTCACTTGTGCTTGAGAAAATCTGAAAACACCAATTAGTGGTAGTAGATATACACAAGGGTATGGGTGGGTGTGGGTGTGAGGTGAGTGTGAGGCTGTTGTGGGTGTGGATGTGAATGTGAGTGTAGGTGTGAGTGTGAAAACAAAACTAATAATTACACCCGCATCCACTTCACATCCACACCCCCACACCCACATCCACACATCCACACCCACACTCACATCCATACCGACACCGACATCCACACCCTCACCCACACCCACACCCACACCCACACACCCACACTCACATCCACCGTTACTCAGAAACTCAGTGTCTGTTAGTTCTGGGGTAAATCTTAAGGTATCGAAGTGATTGGGCCACAGATTCGAATTTATTACGTCTAAAAAACCTTACCTGATCATTTTCGCGATAGTATAAATGTTTGTTTCTGTTCTCTTTGGAGCTATTTTTCTTTTGATTTCTGAACAATAAATCAGATTTCGAGGCTAATCAACTCAAAACTCGGATTTTTCATGTCTAAAGCGCTCTGCCTATCATTCCCGAAAGGATAAGCGTTTTCGTCTATTTTCTTAAAAGCTGAGTCCCTATTGGTTTCTGGACAATCAATCAGATTTCGAGGCAAATGAACATTAGATCCGAACTAAACGCTCTGAAAAACCTCTGGTTCCAGGTTTTCTGTATGTTTATAAAGTAGTGCTCAATAGTACTTCTATACTACCGAATACTGCTTTCTGATGGGTTTGCAACATAGGTAGGGTTTTTTCGGGCGAAGGACCAAATGTTCTTAAAAAAGGTAGATGTTGACCTTCTCCTGGATGAGAGGAAGATTCGTGATAAGTTTGGTTGCATTTGCTTGTACAGTGTGGAAATCTATAAAGAGCAGACAGACAAACATTCTGCTTTATATATAAGATTTATCATGATAGGCATACCTAACTGTGATGTCAATCGTCTGGCTCAGTATTTATTACACACGTTCAATCGTGGTTTAGCTGACGTCGACGAACAATGGATTGAAGATCAATGGTCCGTTGATCAATTGCTTTACCATCTTAGCTACATGCACTTTCTTCTCCGTCCTTCTTCATCATACCTGCTCCTTCAAACCCGTCCTTCGACTATTTTCGTTGACGATTTTGCGAAGCCAACGTTCCTCTTTATCAAAGCCAAGGACTATTTCCTTAAAAGAGCTCCTCGATGTGACTGGCTAGGAGATCCAACGAATCATCACTGGATGAACGGATGGAAGGAACGAAAACACATTGATTTTCTCACACATTCGAAAACCGGAGAGACTTGGTCGATTCTTGTAACATGTTCAGTTAAATTGGTGACAGTTCACGAAAACAAAGTTATGAGACTATTCGTTGGCAGTATGGTCAATGGTGTCGATGTACAATTGCCTATATATTATTATCGAATACCAGAAACTACAGATGAAAATATAGAAATGACATTTAATCGTTTATTCAAAAAAGAATTGCAGGCCTTGGTTTCTATATTTCACAGAAAAACAATTTTTATCACCGAAGACAAAGAAACAACCATGAAATCTTCGCAAACTGTTTAACTCTTCTGGACGGAATCTTTTTAGAAATGAAAACTGGTTTTTCACTACATTTATTGTATTTTACTCAAGAAGTGGTTAAATAAAAACCATATGAAAAATTAAACAAAAAACAAGTTTTCTTATTTTTTAAGCACAATACTAATTTACAATTCAAATATTCGATGCTAAAGCTAATTTAGATACCTTAAGATTTACCCCAGAACTAACAGACACTGAGTTTCTGAGTAACGGTGGATGTGAGTGTGGGTGTGTGGGTGTGGGTGTGGGTGTGGGTGAGGGTGTGGATGTCGGTGTCNAACGAACCTGAGGGTTTGTTTACATGTACGATCGAAAGTAGGGAATTGCGCACGTCGTTATTCTAGATTTCTTTTTTATGAATAGAAAAATATTTGCCTAGGATAAAAAAAATAGTCACGAGCTGAGGGCAATTTTCTATAAAAGGTGTAAAACGCAACATCATACTGCCACATTTTGCTTATTCCATTTTTATCGCAGCCAACTGGGCGGAATAAAGTAAGCCTTTTGTTGTTTGGATTTGGTGATTTTTCGATCGTATTTAGGTGTGGGATAAAGCTTGTCTTTTTCTGTGTTCCATTGGAAGTCTATCCAATATATTCCAGGACGAGCTTTACGACGACCTGATACGGTCGTAAACGGCCTAAAAAAAATAAGAGTAATAATGTTTGGTAGATTTATCACCCGCTGAGGCCAACCGCGGCTGTGTTTGATTGTCTCCACCGTTTTCCTTTCTTGGCTAGGTAGAACAAGTCTTGAGGCTTAAGATTACACCACTCAGTGACGTCATCTAGCCATTCCTTATACGATCTTCCACTCTTAGATTTACTTTCCATTGTCACAAACAGTGTGTGTTTTATGAGTCTGCGGCCATTCATCCTACAAATGTGACCTAACAGCCTAAGTTTTCTTTTCATTATTGTTTCTATGACAGGTTTTTGTGCCTTTAGTTCCGTTCTAATGTCGGTATTTTGTATCATATCTTTGTAGGTGATTTTCAATATTCTCTGGTAGCACTTCACCTCGAATACTAGCATTTTTCTTTTATCCACTTCTTTTAAATTTCATATTTCTGAACCATCCGAAAGCACACTGAAGACGAAAGTATTGAGGATCCTGATCTAGTTCTCTGTTGTTAGCTTTCCACTTCTCCACACATTTCAAAGAAGACAGTGATCCAACTACTTTCATAATTCTTTGTTTAATGTCTTCCGAGCAATCATTGTCCCATGTTATCAGACTTCTAAAGTATTCATATTTTTCGACATTATCGATGGTGTCACCTGCAATATGAGCATGTTTATCGATGTTTTTATCACCGAATAGCATCATCTTTGTTTTTTCCGTGTGTTTATTTTTAGTCCTGCTTTCTCAACAGTTTCTTTTACTCTTCGAATTTACTGATGCAGTGATTCACATTTCTTAGTTAGCAGATCAGTGTCATCTGCGAATAGTAGGGTATTTATTATAGCTCTCCTCATATTAGGGATGCAACAAATCTTGAGATAGATTTGAATTTGGACTTGTATACAATATTTGGATTCAGGTTTGAATTTGTAGTCTAGATTTAAACATAGGTTTGGGTTTGGAGGTTTAGGTTTGGATTTGTTCATCATCGCACAATTCCAAAGAATTTGGTAAAATATGGTGCATTAACAACAGTTCACTGTGCTAGGGATAGAATATAATCAGAGAAAGATTTTCGCATCTAGGACCAAATCCAAAGCCAAACACAAACGGTATGAGACCAAACCCTAAAATCTCTTTTTTGCTTCTAATCCATCCCTAGTAGGATAGATTCTTGTTTGTAATGCCGTATCTTATCAAATCTAAATCTATTCCCAAACCTAGACTACAAAATGCAAATCCGATTCCAAATCAAATCCAAACTCGATGATGCCAAACCCAAACCGTTGGGTTTGTTGCATCCCTAGCTCATATTNTATGCATTATTTCATACTATTTGTTACTCCGCTTGTGGGTAAAAACTCACTACTGCGACGATTGAAAGTGTTTTTTTTTTCGTTTTCATGGACGTCTTTTATTCGATCGACGTTAACAATTGAAACGGAATGGTGCTATCAGTTTTGTAGGTATGGTGTAGTACGCCAATGCTGTTGAATGTTTGTTTAAATGCATAATCGAAAATAGTGAATTGCGCATGTTGTTTTATAGGTTTCTCCTTTATAAATAGAAATATAATCCCCAGAATAAAAAATAATACTCACTAGTAGAGAGCAATTGTGTATGAAAGGTGTAAAATGCAACATCATACAGTAACATTTTGCTTATTCCATTTTTATCGCAGCCAACTGGGCTAAATAAAGTAAGACTTTTGTTGTTTGGATTTGGTTGTGGGATAAAGCTTGTCTTTTTCTGTGTTTCATTGGAAGTCTATCCAATATATTCCGGGAGGGGCTTTAGGACAATATGATACCGTCGTCAACAGTCTTATAAATATAAGAGTACTAATGTTTCGTAGATTTATCACTCGTTGAGGCCAACAGCGACTGTATTCGATTGCCTTCACCGTTTTCCTTTCTTAACTAGGTAGAACAAGTCTTGAGACTTAAGATTCCACCACTCAGTGACGTCATCTAGACATTCCTTATACGGTTTTCTACTCTTACATGTACTTTCCATTGTCACAAACAGTGCGTGTGTTATGAGTCTGATGCCATTCATCCTATAAATGTGACCTAACAGCCTAATTTTCTTTTCATTATTTTTTCGATGACAGGTTTTCGTGCCTTTAGTTCCGTTCTAGTCAGTATTTTGTGTCATATCTTTGTAGATGATTTTTAATATTCTCCGGTAGCACTTCAACTCGAATACTAGTATTTTTCTATTATCTACTTCTTTTAAATTTTCTATTTCCGAACCATGTGAAAGCAAACTAAAGACGCATATCTTGAGGATGGTGACCTAGTTC